TACATTAGATCTAACACATGGCCAACATAAATCTTATGCCAATTGATTTAACTCACAAAGAAGTTTGTGGGCATTCACTTATTTACATTGAATTTCTAAAGATTATAACAAAACATTCAGACACACAGGAAAGAGTTTTTTAGCCTGTTGACAATCATGTCCAGATATTACCCAAATAAATTCAACAAGTTTGATAATAGTTGTCCTGGATTTTTAGAAATTCAGTTCTGCTCATTGAGTTTTTCGATATCAGCGGTGAAGAAAGAAATTTCAGCACTGGTGATTTTTTCCCCAACAATTGAAGGACTATGGTTATTTTAATACCATCTATGTTTTTTTAGGGGCTGGTGAATGCAGAAATTCCTTCTTGACTATTACATAATGAAGCATAACAGGACAACATTCCTAGCAAGCAAAGACTGATAGTGTCAACACCAAATTCTGACCACGCATTTTCTCTTGACTCAACATTATTTCTGGCTCTGTACAATAGTCATTAAGGAACTCAAGGACAGCAAAGACATTCTTCCAACTTGGTAAGGGTTGTCACTTGTTGGTTTTATAGATAGGATAGGAGAGGTTATCTCCTATTCTTAGAAAAATAGTAGATATGCACTATAGAATATTTCTTCTTTCCAGTCAATGATAGTAGATGTCACTGCATGCCCTCTGATTAAGATATGCTTCAATGAGCAGTTAGTGTAATATTTGCTGTAGATTATGCTGATAATGTGCCCTTAATTTTAATTCTAATGAGTATAAATCATGGTTTTCTTTTCTTTCTTTTTTCTGATAATATCTCAAACATAAAACCCTCAGCTCCTGTGGTCACTGTGCACATCCTCTCTAGATTTTCCATTTATTAGTATTTAAATAATATTTAAATAATACTTAGTAAGTTTCTGTGATTATATATACTGTACATGCTAGATGAATTCATCTGAATAGTGCAAATAAGTTGAAGTTGAAGTTGAATTGTTGAAGTCTGCACATGACTTAAAATAGAAAAATATTTGAACAGTAACCTTTTGGTGATCTCTCCAAATATCACAATTGAAAAAATATACCATAGGCAGATGTTGGTCATAGTTTTGAAGTTTACAGACCTGACATGCATACTAATAAGATAGGAAAAGTTTTATCTATTTGATTTGAAAAATGTATAAGACAGGTAATTTTTTAAGATTGACTTAACCCTTTCACGCAATAACCCTTCAACTCCCAAGATCTAATTGTTAATCTCCCCTCTAGCTTCTACATAATTATTTCCTTTGTAAGTAGTTACATGTACGAGAATTTGGTGTTGATCAAGATAACCTTTTACCTGATAAGTTTCAGTATTCTCATTACTTGTTTCATGGATAACGTATGAATATCACTTGAAGAAGTTAAACATTTATCATTACAGGTAATAGATTTGTTTTGGGCACAAGTTTCTTTTTAAGATCTTGTAGTCAAGTGCTAACTAAAAACAACTTTTAGTTGTCATAGTTTAGTCCTGCCGGGAGAAACGCCACATATAATATATTCAACTTATTGACATTAACATAGATGAAACACTACAGAAAGAGCTTTTCAGCATCAAACAAATTGAAATGAAAAGATGTCTGAAGAATGAATAAATATTCGCTGTAAATTATTACCCATTCTTAGGAGTGTTTTCTAGAAATATACAAAAAAATCATGCTTCAAACTGAAAAGAAACTCTAATAAAAACTGATCTTAAATTGATGATACTCAAAGATTAAATTAGACACTTCAAGAAGGGAGAGAGACGACAATCGATGGAATAATTAACTAAGACGAAATGAAAGAACGCTATCACAAATCCGTAAATATATTTAAGTGATTGTAAGTGACTACGATCACTGGCGCATGATTCAAGTTGTTCCAAGCGTCAATTTTACAATTAGTCCGACTTTAAAACTTCCAAAAATTTCACGTTTTTTCTAAGTTTTCAACGTAAGGATAGACAAAAAGCTGCCTACCTTGTATCAAGTGACTGAATTTTTACAGTATTTTGCATCAACAAACTTGGAAATCACACGTTGAGACGAAAGATTAAGTAATAAATAAATTACAATTAGCTTTTTTTCGTTTTAAAGTGTAGCGTGCAGCTTGAATCTTAACAAAAAACGGTTTGTAAAAAGTCATAGCTTTCGATCAAAAGATGTCGTCATGTAAAACCACATGATCGACTTTTCGTGTTTTTCACGAAGTAGTGTCTCGATGTTTTATCACTATAACTTCTCTTACCTCATCTGGCTGAATTTTCTGTACTCTACGAGCAGGTTCTTCTTTCTTAACGGTGCTTCTCGTGCTGGGTAAATGCATTACAGCCGTTCCGGCCGCCATGTTGGAATGACTTTGAGAAAAAATCGAAATGGACCATCATGCAAAGCGCGGAGGGATTAGATCATAAATGAGCAATGCATTCTGGGACAATTATAGTTACCAGTTCTTTTCTTCCAGAGGGAAAAATAGGGATTAGAGTAAGTGGCCTTGTTCGACCTGCACCGTCTGAGAATCAGGCCGAATGAGTTTCGGCGCATGCTCAAATTAGATATTTCCACCCTTCATGCTCTGTTCCGAGTTGTATGAGCAATCGTGGAGATCAAGTTGTAATAAGTAGAGATATCCGATCATCAGTGTGCTTTCGTGGAGTCCGTCCAATTGTGCTCGGCAACTTTTGAGCCGCTTTTGGCGTTTGGAGCAACTTTTTGCAGTTCTAACAACCTTGAGCAATTTTTGCCTATGTGGGCAATTTTTTTTAGCAACTTTTTGGTTTAAAGCAGACGCCAAGCATGATAAAATCAACGATTTCACGAAAAACTTCAATTTATGCAAATTTGTTGAATGGCTTGCAGGCCTTCCATCTTATATTAGAGCGGATAATCGGCTGAAACGACGCGCAAAAATGGCTGTCTTCGTTTATGTACTTTCCATGAACGGAAATGGATGGTTAGAAGCCACCTTCCTTTATGAGCAACACTCGAAAGCTAAATTTATTAGCGAAGAACGAAAAACATAACTTTTAATTAACATAAAAA